CGGCGGGGTGGTCTCAGTCTATAGGGCGTGGGGGCTGAGGTGATGCTAAGGAATCCAAGACGACAGGATACGATGACGATTGCGTCAGTCTGTGTAGCAGTGGATCGGCGATCGTAGGGCAGAGGGAGCCAGTGGACAGGTTCAGGTCGGCGAGGCAGGGTGAGAGATGTGTACAGAGTGCAGTTGTTTGCAGGTGGTGGGCAGCATGTTTGGCAGACGTTGTTTTGACAGGCGGGTGGTGGAAAAGGAAACAGAGCCGGGCCGTAGTGGAGATCCGCGAGGCGGGCCGTAGTAGAGGCGTTGTCGCGCGTGAACTGCCCGCTGCCCGCCGCCATCCGCAGCACACGACACAGGGCGCCGCAAGCCAACCCTCACCCTCCTTTGCAGCTTACTTTCTCCTCCCTGGCATGATACGGCGCCCCATTGCAACATGAGGGCTCAACTATGTGGCTTACTCGCCTCAGCACATGCCCCATGCAGGTCTCAGCCACCCTTTTGTCCAGTCCCACTCTGGAAGGCCACAGGAAGCAGCCTACGCTTCCACTGGCCCAGGGAACGCTTACCCTTGCACCATCTCTAAGAGCTGTTCGTCTTAGGGCCGCCTATGTTTAGGATGTGCATGTGGCGCGGAGCCACCCGCCCGTACTGCCAAAGCTTGGTCAAGGCAGTTGGCGGGAGGGGCGTAGAGAGAACTCTTCCACCATGACTAAGTGAACGGAGGAGTATGGGAAACAAGTGAGTGGGTGGGTGAGTGCATGGACGAGACCTGCAAGCGGATTACAGGGCATAACAGTCTCACCATGATGACTTGGAAAAAACAACGGATCGAGACGACGTCGGTTGCTGCAAAGTCGACTCATACTGGCTACATTGGTACCCTGCCGCTTAGCCGAGCTGCATCGCCATCACTGCTGCCGACAGTAGCAGCAACAGCAATAGCAACAACAGCGGCAGCAATCTCGGCCAAGCGCGCAAATATGCAACCCGTCTTCACAGATCACCCCAAGCGCCAGGCCCCCCAAACAAAATGAGCTCTTCACAAACCTCGTCAATCAAATCGCCCCATCTGCCGAGGCAACCCAACCAGACCCAAACTGCTGGGTAAAACCCACAATCAAGTCCTACGACCACTGTTTCAACCCATGGCTACGTGTTCGTTAATTTGCATACACAGCAAAAAAAAATAGTCGGACGCCTGAATCTCAGTGGGGCGGCCCCATTTTACTCCCCCAATCCTCCTTTTTCCTTCCTAGGAGAAACAAAATAATAATCATGTACAGTAATAATAATCGTTTGCATACGTACATTTCCTAAATCTAACCATTCCCGCTTGAAGGAGATAGAAAGAAAAAAACAGGGTCCTAATCCTCTCGACATGTTCCCCCCCCCCCCCCGACCAAGTACTAAGCCAGTGAACGAATACTAGTAAAAAGACCCCTCCCCGCAAAAAAATAGAACAGTGGAGCCCCATACCCTTCTTTTTTGCCCCTATCTTCCCCAATCCGTCACTTTTCCATACAGTGAATTAGTATACGCAATACAATCTAGCCTGGACCCCTTTTTTTTCCCGCTTCCTCTCTTCAATCACGCAAAAAACCATGCCCGGTTAACGGTAAGTGTGGAGTCCAAGAAAGTAAGGGAAAAAAAAGGGGGACCTAAAAGAGAGAATGACCGGGGTTTGGGACATCAACAGGCAAGCTCAAAAAGTGAAAGGGTGAGATTGAGATATCTGTTTTACTCTTTTCAGGACTAGTTACAATTTTTTTTCTTTGATCGGTTAATCGCTGGAGAGAAGAGAAAAGGATGAATTGCGTAAGGGTCTAGATGAGTGTGCATGGGGCAAGTGGGGGGGGGGGGGAAACGGGAAGAGAAGGGGAGGAAAGGTAGTGGGAAAGTCGGAGATAGACCCGAATGGGAAAATCATAGCGAACATTTGTAAAGTAGATGCGGTCGGTGGGTTAGTTCTTTTTTCTCCGCGGCGTCAGATATGGGATTTATTGTATGTTGTGTAGTTTTGCAGAGGAATACTGGTAGGAGAAAATGGATGGAGGAGGAATAAGGTAGGAGAAAAGACACTGCTATGCAGACTTTGTAGCGCACAAGCTGGTGGAATATAGCGAGTTCGTTTGATATAGTAAGCCGAGCTTTCTATGGGAATAATGTATATGTGTGGTTGATGAAACCGTTGCGCGGGGGGGTTAAACGTATAACCACCCATTATCTAGTCTCTACGTGGAGACAAACAAGAAGAAAAACGGCATCTAAGATTGGGAAATGAAAGAGAGAGAGAGAAAAAAACAAAGAAACGCGCTCATTTTTTGCCGTCCTGAAAACGTTGCGCGTACATGCGTTTGTTCGTTAGCCAAGTAGATGACGCCTAAAGAGAAAAAGAGAAGAAAAAAACCCCTTTCAAAGCTCACTGCATAAGAATGTCCGAATCTCAGACACACATCACATAGTGTTGACACGCATCCTGTTCTGCGTCGTCCGCGAAGAAGCCATGCGACGCTTGACACTCTCGGGCGCAACAGCCATGGTGATCCTGAACGTGTCTCTAACCCGGGTCCGGAGCGAAGCCTCCATGGAGAGATACACACCACTGTTGATATCCGGCTCGGCCAGGTCACCCGGAGTGCTGGTGCGTCGGCAGTAGCGCTCTGCAAACTTATCAATGAGCTTCTCGATCCTGCACAGCTCGGCAAGAACAAGGCTGGTGCGCTGGGCACACTCGGCTTCCGAGTCCAAAGTGTGGGGTTGCGTGCAGAGTTCGAGCTGAGTTTCGAGTGAGACGTATAGGAGGCCGCGCTGGTGGTCATGCACTCGTGCAATGGCTTGGAACCATGAGAGGATTTTCATGGTTGCAAGATTGATCGTCGATGCAAAGTGAGGATTCGATGTGCAGTCACACTCTAGTAACGAATACAGACTATCTACAGCAGCCTTATTGGTGGCGAGGATGGACTCGAGTGTCGGAGAACCACCCACCGCGCTGGTGAAGTCGCTGGCAGAGGTTTGGGACTCGAGTGGTACGTATAAATTGTTCAGTGTTTGAAAGGCGGACATTGTGCAGTCGTGGGTTGCAAAGTTCCCCCATGCTGGAGGTGTTGATAGTGCTGCGGATAGTGTTGGCGAAGGTGAGTCAATGGCTGTCTCTTGTGATGTGAATATGTTATGCTGCGCACTCAGCATCGGGTGGTTAGTGTGCGGTGAAGGATGCTGCGATTCCAGTGGTATAAATAGGTCAGGCTGGCTAGGCGTACTGATAGACCGTACGTGTCCATGTACAGGAGTGTGTTGTTGGGGAAGATACTGGGGCATTGGAATGAACATATCCGTCTGACTTCCAAACATCATGTGATCATCGTTGGCCCACGCGCTGACAAAAGACATGGTACCTCCTTCAGAGCATGCTGGCGATAGGCTATCACCGAAGTTGTTTGCGACAAAAGCATCTTGATAGTGGAACTCCGGCGTGCTGGGGCCAACGTAGAAGGGGTCTATTGGCTCGGGTGAACTCTCAGATGTATGAGAGGTAGTGCGTGGAATTAGATCGAACTGAGCCCCTGTGGGCCGGTATGAGCCAGCGGGTGATACTTCGCGTTTGATCGTCCCGTCCAGATTCCGGTTCTTGCGTGGTTTGCCCAATCTGCGCGTGATGAGTGCATGCTCATGTCAGATGTATAGATGATATATACCTCATAGATGGGGAGTAGTTGCAGCAAACATTAATGGTACCACATCGCTGGCAAGTTGGTCTTACTTTGTCACACTTGACCTGCTGCTGATTAACGGGTTGACAACTAGTGTGTGAATGGGTAGGCGTACTTTAGCACGAGAGCATGCGTCACATGAAGCTCTCATCTTCCGAGGCTTTTGGAGTGCTTTCGAGGCACTAGCTGCTGAAGCAGTCTCTTGGCTGAATATGGTATCCTCCATTTCGTGTAGTGGTAGTTGATGAGGAGAGTATGCCTGAACTGGGACCTGGAGCATATGTATCGACAGCAGTGTGACTGAAGGATGACTACACCGAGCTTTTAAGTGGCATGTGTTTTTATATAGAACCATAGCTGGCGACGGAGAATGCGCGTCTTGACTAGGATGGATACGGCAAGGATCATAGCTGGATCATAGCTGGATCCAGCGTGCAGGAGGCGTACATGCGACAATCACTGGGGGGCGGTCGAGTAGCGTCAAGCTGATGCTTAGGAGTACAGGGACAGGGATTGGTGCAGCCATCGATGTCGGACGTGCTTGGATGGGGCTGAAGGCTTACATGGCAAGTTCCTTGCCTCTATCAAGTCTAGTACAACTCAAAGAGTATGCAAATCCATACGAACGCATTAGTATCACTAGTGATGAAGACGGGAAAATGCCGCGCACACCGGAACGTGACATGGCCTCGATGTACCCTCGCATGTGCGGCTCTGGAGGTAGTTTTGTGAACATCTCACAGCATCGGCCATGTGTTTGAGCGACGGCACACAGCAAGCCAGAAATATCTTGCACTGAGGCTCGGCAGCCTGGTGCTGCGGCGGAGGGGGAAGACTTATCCGGACGGTATGGATAGATTGCTTCCACGAGGGTTACACCGAGTGGGTCGCCGCTTAGGTATGCTGGTGCGGCGTTCCATCGTAGTATTGGCTTCGCAGCACGGCGCCAAACATTTGAATCCAGCCACCACTGCTGCGTGCCGCATTCAGTCGCTCTTGATACCATTGCTCAATGGGCGCGTGGGGGTTCTAGTGCTGACTTAGCTTGTTTAATCCGCTACACAGAAAGAATAGCGCATGCCCATCATGACGGCAGAAGCAGCTGAGCCTTGGGCCTCTGACTTGACAGGCATTTGGTAAGATATTCGGTGTGCAGGCTACACGAGGACATGTCAGGCAACGTCTGGTAGTTCCCAGGGCTGAAGGCAAGTAGGACAGGTTGCGTGGGACGGAGGGTCTGCCCGTGGAAAGGCTAGTCAGGATCCTACACATTAGGATCCAGGGAACCGGTCAGATGAATGGCTTCATGAGTGCTGCTTGTCGCACACTAACCAAGACTGTGCAATTCGCGGGGTCCCACTGCGCAGGGATCTGGCAACAGGCAAAGTCAGGGTTTTGCTGAAGCGGGCCGATCGTGCGAATGATGACTACGCGGTGCCCACAGAGCCAGTTCGTCTCGAGCAGTGCTGGCCTTGCGACAGACTGGGCCTGGTCGTCCCTATGATACGTATGCAAGTACGATGAGGCCCTTGCCAACAAAGCTCCGTTCTGGCTGCGATGTGGGTGGTGACGCGCGGTAGATGTGTGCAGCCTCGTGGCGGTAATGCAGAGACTACGATGGAGAAGCCCTAGTGTAGGGCTCGAGTAGTACTGTCAATAGCCACTCGCCTTACAGAAGACGTAGTTTGGCGGTACGAGAGCTGCCAAAGTCGACATCGTCACCACCTGCTCTGCGCAAAAGAGCAAGCGGGCACTACGCAGCACATGGGGACGTGGTGGTGGATTGAGTGGAGGAACGGCATGGGCGCAGGTAGCCGCCCGTTCCCGTTGGCTGCGCTAACATTTGGCCGCTAGCGCGACGTTACATTTGTCTCCTTCCCGCCCCTCAGGCTCCCAGGATCACGACTCGACTCGACTCGAACCCATTGATTCAGTGCCGAACGATTCAGGAACACGCTGAGTACAGAAAATTCAAGGACATGGAGCCTTTGCAATATTGGGGCCAAAGATAGCATTCAACGCGAGCGAATGGTTGATCCTACTTGAACAGACCTGCGTAAACGTCGTATCTGGTACAAGGTACAAGTACCCCAACTCCAGGTCCCAGGCTTCATATCCTCATCTTCTGCATCCCCGAATGCAACAAGCATTCTAACAAGGCAAGTGAAGAATGATCTACATAATCACAACTGCGCCTCGGCGCATGATACCCCCATATCACACAATATTCCATGCAGTCGAACAGACGGCACACCAGGCCTTATAAATCAACGCGGGATCGGAATAAGATCCGGAACGTTATTTGAGGCTATCCGCTCATGGCATGTTTACTTTTGCATTGTCAGTTCCGTTTCACATACTGTGTACAGAGCCAGAAATTTCTTTTTTAGCGCCTGCTAGGCGAGTTGATTAGTAGGGATAGGGCCGGGTAGGGGTGGTAGATTGAATGCGTGTAAATAGAGTTTCTGTTGATATCTACTACAGTCTAAGTTGTTGGTTCTTATTTCGTGTCTCCCTATGTTTTGCTATCATACCGATCGTGGCAATAGGCTGGGATCATTAACGCTGTTGGACACTATAAGCGCGATAAACTGGATATCCTGGGTTAAAATTTCACGTGAATGTCACGGCGCTAGCCGAGTGGCCGGCGCGCGGCCGTCTGATTGGACGCGGACAGAATCCGGGTGAGGGTCCGAGCACCCGGGTTCTGCAAAACCGCCGCAACTTCACTAGTGTAGCTCTTTGAGCTACGTCCTGTCTTCTACTCTATACTACCTGTA